CAGGTCTGAGGCTAGAGGGGCTGAGATACAAGAAAAGACTTCAGAATCTGACAGCAAAGGTCAACAACATCCAAGAGGCTACAGAGAGATGTGCTGGGGAATGCTGTAATTTTTTGATACGCTGATTTTGGTGACAATTGTCTCCTATAAAACTTCTGGCTTATATGGATTCTCCTGTCCTATCAACTCTGTGAGGTGATAAAGCCTCCTTAACAAGATTTATAATAGATTTGGGGTCAGAAAGGCCCAGCTGTTGGGGGACCAACATCTAATATGTGCATAGAAAATATTCCCTGATGTGCTGCAGGCTTTTAAAAGTGGAAAATAAATCACAAAAAGGCAGTTATGTTTTGGTTTCTATTTCATTGAGTAATAAAGATAAAGAGCAGCATAATGAATGAGATAAATTGAACTAAGGCATTATGACTCATATGTCCCATGACTGAGCTGTCAGAACAAGATGTTTTGTGTTTCTGGTTGAGTTACCTACATGCTGATGATCTCACATCATGTTTTTCATTCTCATATCCAAGAGTTATTGATATGAGAAATTGTTATTTCTCTGAAATAACAATTATGGCCAGAGTGCTTAAGAGGCAAAATGTCTGTGGGCACATCAATCGAAGTCATCAGTTTTCTTCTTTTTTTCTTTGGCTGTCTACCAGTCTAGTTACCTAGCCTGCTTTATTTTAGCCCTATCGGACCCCTGTAATTAATAAGGCTTATTAATTGCCCAGCAAACTCCTGACCACTAACGCCAGGCAGTGCTGTTGGTCACTGGTAGGTGCTGCACTTTTGTTCTAGCTCAGGTGTGGGCCCACAGCCACATTCTGACAGGGCTCTGCCGACTCCTCCCAACTGTGATTTTGTGCCAGCATATTTTTGTGCCATGCCCTGCACATGGGAAGCTGGTGCTCCAGGTGCTCCGAGCATGGCTCGTGCTGTGCATTGCAAGGGTGCACTCCTGTTGCAGAGAGCAGATGTTTGGGCAACTTCCCAGGAATGGACTGGCTGCTTCTGAAAGCAAACACCAGCCCATGACATGATCTTAAGTAGAGATATCCCACTCTGTGGTAGGAGGGCTAAAATGTTAACTCAGCAATTCTGCAGGTCATTTTCATCTAGTCCTAGGACACTGCAGCAGCAGGAGAAGGTGGTTCAAGCTCTGGGTGTTTGGAAACTGAAAGCCCTCAGCATCCAGTCTTTTGTTGCCAGTTCACTCTGAGAAACTGAACCCGTGGCTTGACAAGAGGATGTGAAGCTGTCACAGCGCAGCAAAAGCATCCCTCTTCCCAAGGTACAGGAAATGCAGATCAGCATGCCATGCTGCTGTTGCAGTACACATGAGATGATGAAGTCTGGAAGACTGAAAGAAAACTTGACCTAGGAAATGGTATGTTCTTGCATCTCAGGCTGTGTTAGTTTTATACCCCTGTGTCATTCACTAACGTTGGCTGCATGATGGAGAGTATTTGAGTGAGAATCACAGCTAAATTTACTAATCCTAAGAAATTATAGCTATTGCATGTTATGTGAGTGTGTGCCTGTCCACTAAGGACTTGCAGGGGTCACAGATACAAGCGATATTGTTTGTGGAGCTAGAGGTGAAGAATGGGAAATGGCTTCTGGAGAAGAGACATAGGCATTGCTTAGTTTCAGCCCATCACATAGTGCTTAGATCTTTGGAGGAAGATGTTGAGAAGCACATTCTAGGGAACAGAGCTGCTGCAGTTTAGGAAAGCACTTATCCTATCTCTTGACTTTTTCTCAGGTGATTTTTATTGCTGTCAGAGCAGGGTCATTGGAATGGATCATGGAAACAAACACATATTGCACATTATCCCGCAGGAAGCTTTCCCATCAAATCTTCACCGAGCCCATTACAGGCTGAGTGTCACCATCTTATCTTAAAAGCGTCATGTACCTCAATCTGAAAACTACAAAGAGGCTTCTTCCTTAGTAATGTTTTTCATTCAAAGGTAGGTGAGTTTATCACAACCTTGATCTTCATGAATTTCCACCATGAACTTCCATTTGTGTTCTGTTTTCATTATAGAAGTACATTCCTAGCAGACCTTTCCTGGGACTATCTGTCATACTTTTTAGCTTTCAGAAAGTTGCATTGTTGCCACTGATACTTAAAATGCATTTACAAACAGCCATGTAAAAATGAAAACACTGGTAATGCACACCTTGACATTCTCTTCCAAGCCACGCACAAGATTGCCCATCAGGTTAGGGTGGTGTACATTGGTTATCCAAGAGCCCACACTACTCACTTTGTTCCTTGTGGAGACAGGTGGTTTCTGAGGCAGCCAGCACTCAAGCCAAGTAGGTTAGACACGCTGGTGTCAATATCTGGCATTAGCTCCAGCATCAGTCCTGAAATCACTGAAGCTCCTTGTCCCTCAGAAGAGACAGGGCTCAGCAATTTTCTTCAGGTATTCCATAAAAAAAGATGGAATCTAAAATCTTTATACTGACAACTCATGCCATTTTGGGATATCCCAGGTAATGGAAAAAACCTCAAGGCCAATTCCTGGAGGGACAAATAGCCCTGTCACTGTACTAGGCCAAAGCTGGCTCTGTGCATTCAGGCAGTGTTGAGCCTGAGGTAACCTCCTCTCCTGGAACACAGAGTGCTGCTGGCATGCAGAATGTGGCACAGCTCACCATGAGGCAGAGCCAGTCTCTTCATAGCCTATGAGGAGCCACTTGGGTCCTGTTGCCTGCTGCTCTCCTGGGCTCCTAGTCTGAGGACCACACCTGCAGAGTCTCTGGAGCACTCCCTGTAGACACCTCTGGTCCTCCTTAGATCAGGCTTGGTATCCCGTGAAAGTATTTGTGATGTTTCCAAACCTGATCAGGCAGTGCTGTGCCTCAGCTGATGGACCCAGCCAGACTTTGAAGGGAGCCAGCTAAACTCTCTGCACCCACAGTGCAGTTAATCTGCAAGCAGAATATGAGCTGCCAAGTGACTGGTAATTGTAGCTGCTCCTCGGTGTCATCCTGGGATTGTGAGTCTTGCTAGTTTGGCCATGTTTTTGAAAGGGGGCTGGCAATGTTCTGAGCTGCACTGTGTTCTTCCAGCATAGCACTTACATGAACAGCATGTTCATGTTGGGAGCTGCTATCTTTCCTAAATATTTCCACAAGAAATTCCTATAACAATATTTAAAAATACCTTAAAGAAAGGGAATGTGAGTTTATTTTACAAATCTCAAAATAAATATATTTTGCCCTCTTGCAGTCTTATCTGTATACTCACCAGCACCATAGGATCATAGAATATCCTGAGTTGGAGGAGACCCAAAAGGATCAATGAAGTCCAATTCCATTCCACACTGAGATGTGTGCATCTCAGCGGCCTTGCCAGGATCACTAATGGGCAAGAGAGTTGGTGTAGGATATACAGTGGTTCCCAGTAAGAAATGCCTGACAACATATGGCTTAATGAACAGCTGTTTTAAACAGACTGAATATGAAGAGGAATATAGACAGCAAGTAAATCTAACACCCCTTCAGATGCTGGGCACCCTGTGTTCTGGCAGTGCTGGACAAGACCAGGGTTGGATTTCCCCACAGCACATTGTGTATATCCTGCCTGTGAAGGGAAGCTTCCCACTTTTGGTCACTTGAGCTATTATATATTTTCTTACAGGGACACATTTCTCTTCCTACAGGAAGTTCGAACTTCCTGCTGCACATATAGATAAGGGTTGGTTAGCGACTGCCAAGTGGGTGGTACAGCCACTGGTGCCAGGCAGGAGCTGCCCCAGGCTCCCTTGTCACAATCCACCAGCTACACTTCTCCTGAGAGCAAGGGGTCTGTGCGGCCTGAGGGCCATGCTGCATGTGCAGCACAGCGCAGCACAGACCTGTGTATAGAAATTACAGATGAAATTGGGAATGTACAGGTTTCTCAGTCTCTAAGCACAAGTGAGCAGACATGGTCTGTTTGAGATTACCAGCTCCTTGAATGCCATGTTTGCTGCATGGTTCCCAATACATGGACCCCTCTCTTTCTCCACAGAGGAAAGTCTCCTGGGTTTGATAGGGAAAGTAAGTTTTGCTGACACTTCGTGAGTGAAGTCTCTCATCAGTGGTATTTGTGAGCACTTCATCCTTGATGAAGCTGTGACAGCATGGAAAGGTCTGGCAATGTACGAGGCAGAACTACTGTGCTTTCAACAGAGGAAACCCTTCAACCTTCAGGAAAGGTCTGTGTGCCATGCAAAAAAGCTGTGTCCATGGGAGGAGTGTCCTACACGTTACATAAGCCCATTCTTCTATTCATTTTATACTACTACTATCTCTCTTACGTAAGTCCATTCTTAAATCTAACCTTTACAATAATTGGTTCTATAGGCTATATATCTTTATTCCAAAAACAATAACTGGTCAATTCTACATAGTTTAACTGATTGGAATCCCTGATACACAGATCAAGATGGGAAGGGGTGAGGGGGTTTCCAAGCAGCATATACGGTCCAGTAACTTAACATACAAGGTCCAGTAACTTCTTGGCAAGATATCCATGGTTGCATACTTCAAACATAACACTCCTTAACAATTCTGCACATTGTGCTTCACAATTTTCTACCTTTAATTGAATGAACTACTTCTTTTATATGATCAAATCTCAATTATTTTATCACAACTACTTCTTCTATGTAATTAAATCCTAATTATTTATGATACTATTTGCAACACACAGAAGAATAAATCTCATGTTTCTGCTGAGGAAGCATTATCATCCCTTTGAAAGTTAGAAGCAGGCTTCAAAGAGATTGTTCAATTATTATGTTTTTTAACCCAAAACATGTATCAGCCCTTGCTTCCCAGTTTAGGAGTTAGGAGAGCGGAAAGAGCACTGCTAAGGGCAGGCATGTACGGACATGTCATTACGAGGTGGAACTGCGGTCAAGCAAAGTTTTCCTGTTTCCTCTTACGTCACCCTGAGCCCGCAGAGCCTGGGGATTTGCTCCAGCGTCGGCCGTGCGCGGAGCCCCGTTTGCAGGAGCAGAAAAAGGAGGACAGCACCAGAAGGGTCCACCGGGAGAGGAGAAGCCATGTACAGGAAAAAGATGAGAGGGTAAAAGAAACTGATGACCAAAAAAACCCACCCCAGCTTCAGCTCTATGCTGTTGTTGCTTCAACCCAAGGGGACCCCTCGCTTTGCTGCCCCAGGGGGGTGCTTTCTCTGTCAGTGCAAAGTCTCTGCCTTGCTTGGGGAAGGGCGAGGGCGATGCTGGCGCCAGTGTACTCGAGTAGGAGCCCCGTCCCAAGTGTAACTGCAGTGGCCGAGGAGCTGCACCGAAGTCTGAGCCTGCTGAGGAAGTTCCCACCGGCATAAAAGCTGTCACGGGAGCCATAAACCATCGCGAAACAAAAGGCACTGACAAAAGCAAAGGAAAGATGGGGGTGTGCTGGGGAAGGGCTAAGGCTGGCTCACCCCAGTGCCAGGCAGCAAGGGAATCCAAAAATGCCTCTTTTCCCTGCTCGACAGTTTCAAGGTCTTGAAACAGACTTTGTGACACAAAATGAAGTGTCAGACCAGGCATTTTCTGTTCAATAGAGGCGGGAAAAAAGCTTTTAATGCAAAGTTTAGTAAAGAAATGCATTGGTTGTACCAAGCATTAGCAAGGGAGGAAAAATGCAGATTAAAGAACTTTTGACACATCTATGGTTGTGTATTTTTAGACATTATCATTATTACTATTATTATCTTGCAATGAGCAGAATTTTAAATAGTTTCTAATAAAAAGTGGTAGAGGAAGGAAGGAAAATTATTAAATGTCTATAATGATGCGGTTTATTACACAAAGTCTTAATGAGAGATATTAGGTTTTTTGGTAAAATTTTAAAATAGTCTCATAGCATTCCTGTTCAAGTTATGGACGATGGAACAATGCAATAGCAAATTTATAAATAACAGATTTTAAAATATATTTGTAATCAGTCAATTTAATTTTCAAGTTTTAATGCACATTTATATAGCAGCTGCATATAAATGAAAAAGAAAGTAAAGCCTAGGAGACAGTTATGTTGGGTGTCATCCCTCTGCCATTTTCTCCCCTAACTTCTCTAAATGTTTTAGGGTACAATCCACCTTTTAAATTCTCAGTCACTCTTTACAGTTGATGTACTTCTCTCCAGCTCTTAAATTCTGAAAAGGTTCATGAGACTGATGAATCAAATTTAGAAAGAAAACTAAAAATGTTTTCTTTTTTATTTATTTTATTATGTACTAACTCTTAATTTTGTGTCATATCTGTGTCAAGGAACCAGCTGTTAAGTGCTTGGTTTTTTTTTAAGTTAGGCTCTAACTTAAGTTAGGCTGAGTGTATATATGTACCATACATAAAAATGCTGAACAGCAAGGACTGCTCGTGAAAACTATAAAAAGAAAAAAAAAATTGAAGCGATTGCACGGCTTTTGGCAATTTACCTGTAAACTCACAATTTATTTTAAGTATTCTCTCCTCTTGTTTGGGGAGAAAAAAGAATAGATGAAAGGATTATGTGATTCTATATATATTCTCTAGTGTGTGAATGTTTTATGATTGTTTTTAAATTTGTTGTCTGTTAAAGCTGTTTGAATTTACATTAATATATTATTTAAAAAATAGCAAGTTACGTCTTGCTATATAGCAAATATTTATAAGTATGAAGACTTTTGCTTATATTGCATTAAGTTGATTACACCATAAATTTCTCTTGGCCGAACACATCTCTAGGGTGGGTGTATCTTGAAGATTAGTGTATTGCAAGATTGTTCTAAAGAAATGCCTTTATGTCCCTGAAAATATGCACGAGACATCCACTTATCCAAAGTGCAATATTTTATGGTCAAAACACAGGCAAGAAGGTGCTTTTAGACCAGTTTAAGTAAGACTTGGAAGATTTAACTTGTTTGCATGTTATAATCAGATGGCAACATCTACAGATACCTTTGAACAAATCAGATCTCTGTAATCTATTGTAATATCACTTTCCAAAACATTAAAGATACCTTCTGTAATAATGAGATTAACTGATTGGGCTTGAGTATTTGGAATTCAGTGTATTTTCTTTGGTGAACTTCAACCACTTACACATATTATATATTTATTGTGAACATATGATATAATTATTTTATGTATATGTGTTCCCTAAAAATCAAGATTTAAGGAAATTTAAGCTAATAAACATTAACTTCCAAATAACATAAAATAAATAGAAAAAATGCATCTCTTTTAACACCTCAAATGAGAAAGCATAAAAATTGAGCCTGTGCTTCACTTTTGTCTCTCTTTATTGTTTTTTTTAATGACATACTAAAGGAATTATATGTAATAAAAAAGTTATTCCTGTACCAGAATTAAACATTTCGTGGCATTTATGTTTGTTACATTTACATAAATTTGATAGAGAGTCTGATAAAGAAATGTGCACTCGTGATGTCTGTGGTTTATATAAATGGAGTTTACATGGAGAAATAAAGAGAGAGATACATTCTGTGGTTTATAAAATGGTTTGTGTACATATGTATTTTAGCATGTAGGAGGCTGGGATGAGAGTGGAGACAGGATAAGAACACAGAGACTATTGACTGACTCAGATAAATGATGTGATTTTTAAGTAGGCGGTGAGTCTTGAAGCTAGAGAATATGTGACAGTTACTTGATCTGCAAGATTTCATTTGTCCTTTGTTCAGATAGGGGTTTTTTTTTGGTGGTGGGATTTTTTTCTTTGTTTATTTGGTTTAGTTTTCTTTTTTTTTTTTTAATTTTATTAGTGGGTGCTAATCTACAGAACAATCTGTAGGCTTATTGCTTTTTTGTTAAGAATTTGTTCACTTGTCTACTATATTTGCCCCAGATTACTCTAATGTGGAAAAACATATATCTGAAGTGCATTCTCATATAAATCTCTATACAAGGCGATTGCATGAAGCTACAAAGTGCCTCTGGAGACTTTGTCTCTTATTTATGTATTACAGATAATTACTAAATATAAAGGATACATTCATGACCAACACTGGAAGTCTTTGTATAGGTACTTAATTGGCAATATGTAAAGGTCTTTTCTGAACTGAAAAGGTCTGGATCTAAGAGATGGACTATCTGTCAAAAAATATCATTCTTGGGAGCTGCATCTTGTTGTATAGAGCACTTATTTTTTTTTCTTTCATGTAGAATTGTGCTGACTGTCCTAATCTTTATGAAAATACAATCAGCAAGAGAATCCAATAAAAAGAAATATTCAGCTTCATAATTTATGGTCGGTTTGGTTGATTTTTATTTTTTTTTTAGTTTTGACAAAATTTGCAATGGCTCCCTAGATTGAAAAGGGCTAGATAGAAGCCCTGTAAAAATATCTGACACATTAAAAAAAAAATGTAGAAAGCTTTCAGAAATACTCACACTGATAAGGAAGAGGACGGCCATAGGGAGGATTAGTGGTTCAGGGCTTAGCTCCCTCACGCTGCCGTCGTGCCTACCTCCCCATTTTTCTGCACTGCTCTCTGTGTTTTGCCCTTCTCAGTTCTCCTCGCATTTCCTGCACCCTCCCCCTTTTTTGTGTACTGGAGTACTAATGAAAACAAAGTTGTAACCAGTGATTTCTTGAAATCTCTCTTCTGTTTCAGCATGTATATATCTAAGAAGGCATTAAAAAACCAGTTTGATCCTTTTAAGTTTCCACGGGAGACATATCTGCTATGCAAACTGCGATGGGGTGAGAGCGACCGCTCTTGGATACACTGGGTCAAAAATTATCGTGACGATTATTATCATGCTGAAGTCTACTTTCTGGAGAAAATCTTTAGAATGAAACCATACACTAATGTCAAATGTTCCATCACCTGGTACCTGTCCTGGAGCCCCTGTGTGAACTGCTGTTATGAAATACTGGATTTCTTAGAGAGGCACGAGAATGTGAACATAGACATTCATGTAGCACGGCTTTATTTCAAAGACTCAGAAAGAACCCGCAGAGGTCTGAAGAAACTTGCGAGGTCGGCGCAAGTAAACATTAATGTCATGAACATGGAAGGCAAGTTTTCCTGTGCTTTGTGGGATTGGGAAAGGGTGAACCAGTGAACTTTGTGTCTGTTATGGGCTTGCTTCTGTGCCCAGTGTCCTCCCCGGCTTCTCTGAGGGCACATCAATCATTTGGTGACTGAGTGTTGCATCCAAAAACATGTTAAAATATTGCAGAAGAGGGACAGGATTCTTAGGAACCAGACCTGTATGAAAATTCTCCCTTGTTTAGAGATACTATATTTATGTCACTCCTGAGGGATGAGAGATAAGGTCCTTCTCTCTTCTCCTAGGGGACTAAATGCATTTGCTAGGATGAGGCTGGCTGAAGGGCTCCTCTGCATTTAAAAGAGGGGAAAAAATTGCCTAGGGAGAATGGCATTGGTTCCAAATATGGAGTGGACAGCATCCATCAGCTGACCTGTCCATGGCCAAGCTGTCTCTATGACACGGACACAAGAAAGAGGTTAAAAAGTCTTGTTCCATGAGCTTCTCTGGCATCTGAATAAACTCAGGTTAATCATCTTGCTTCTGTTTCTCCAGACTATAAGGACTGTTCGAAAAACTTTATCCAAGGAGGTGCTGATGATGATTTCTGGACTGTGAACTTTGAGTCAGAGATAACAAAGAATTGTTCGAAACTCTGGCGCATCTTAGAGGTTAGTAGATTTCTGAGCAATAGAGGGAACCACATGAATGCTGATTTGCAGTCTGGGGTAACTGAGCTGTAAAGAGAAGGAAAGAAGCCATTCACGTCTAGTAGGAGTTTAAAGAGTGCTGCAGCAGACTTTTTGGAAACAGTAATATAGTAAAATCATGGGAACTATCCTGTCCCATTGAGAGAAAAGCACTGTGGGTTTTTTTCTATCATATTATGAAGCACAGGCTAAGAGGGCAGTTTTTCTCCTTCAGGCTCCTGAGTGGGAAATCCCTTGATTTTTACCTGGAACTCCAGTCTTATCCCAGAAACCCTCTGCCAGATTCCTTTATAACCCAGATCTGAGCATGGGTTTCAGTTCACCAAATGATGCTACCCAACCCCTTTCTGTCAATATCTGCAGCGGTCTGACAGCCTCCCAGTCACTGGGCCCCTCTATAATACTTCATTGAAGTCCTTTCCAGATTTGATTCAGCAAATTCCATGACTGGCTGGAAGGGTACAGTGTCTGTGAGATGAGAAAAGCTGTTCAAAAGAGAGTGTCTGTCCCCTGTGAAAATTCAACCTTTGTTTTTGTTTTGTGCCAGACCTCCTCAAAGGCAGGAGACAGAAGAGAGAGTGTCTTCAATAACAGTGCTGAAAGTTTGTGCCCCTGGAGACAAGAGACTGTTCTTGAATGAATAGGTCCACATTCTTGGCCTGAAAGGAATGTGGAAAAAAATATAGTGTACAAAAAAAATCTAGCAAAACTAATATAGGTGCTGTAGCACTTTGATTTCACTGTATTAGAGTTTTCTGACAAATGCTATTTTTAGTGAAACAGAGTGAAAGAAATCTATGGCTAAGGGGGTCATTGATTATGTCTGTTACAAATCACAGCAGGTCCAAAGTGCAATTAGAGGATCTAAATGTTATACTTCTATTTTCATTTTAGGATCTTCATTTATAGAATCGAAGAATCACAATATCTCAAGTTAAAGTGACCCAAAAGGATCATCAAGTCCAACGCCCTGCTCCTTGCAGGATGACCTAAAACCAAACAATATGACTAATAAGCATCATTTAGGTGCTTCTTGAACTCTGACAGGCCTGATGTGGTGACCATTTCCCTGGGGATCCTGTTTCTGTGACTGACCACCTTCTCAATGAAGAACGTTTTTCTAATGTCCAAGCTGAACATCCACTAATGCAGCTTCATTCCATTTAGTCCAGTCCTGTCACTGATCACAAGAAAGTCAGTTTCAGGATTACTTCAGAATTGTCCCGTCCCAGCTGGAGAATCCAAGACTCACTCTTGTTAAATTTTGTACCGTTGGTGACTGCACAGCTCTCCAGTCTATCCAGATCTCTCTGCAGGGTCAGATCTCTCTAACCGCAAGGGAGTCCACAGTTCCATCTAGTTTAATATAATTGACATAAGTACTTAATTTTGATTCCTACATTTGATTCCTGCATACAGATAATTTATAAAAACACTGAAGATCACTGGCAGTAAAACTGAGCCCTGAGGAACCCCAGAGGTGACTGGTCAACAGCCTGATGTAACCCCATTTACTGTAGCTTTTTGGGCTATCAACCAATTGCTCACCCAACGCCCTATGGACTTGTCTCTCTGTGTGCTGGACATTTTATCCTGAAGGATACTTACTGTGAGAGTAGTATAAAATCTTTGCTAAAATGCAAACCCACTACATCTGCTTGCTTCCCTTGGTCAACTAGATGAGTGACCTTATAATGAAATGAAATGAGGTTGGTTAAGCAGGACTTTCCCCTTGTGAACCTGTGCTGACTATGACTGATGACTGCAGTCTTGTGAGAGACTGAAAACCTGAAAGAGTTAATGTCTCAAACATCTGGCAGAAGACAAAAGGAATGTTACCATGCAAACGAGACAAGGTGCAGTTAGAAAAGGGGGTCTTGAGGAGGCAGGATAGTGCTTTTCTGGGTCCAACTTCCTTAGGTAACTGTCTAAAAACTAAATTTGAGACAGCATTGCACTTGTGTTTCAGATGGGGGAGGGTAATTGAAACCACGATACCCCCCAACCCCCTTCTGAAAAGTTCGAGAATAACAAAATATACATGTGTGAGGACTAGGCTATAAATAGTGCAACGGAGGGGCAGGGCGTGCACCCACCATCCATGCACCCACCATCTGGAGGAACCGGACCAGAGATGGCACTGGAACCCTGTGTGGTGATCCAGATCTTTTTTTCTCTACCTGTTTTCCTATCTTTCCTTTTTCCTTTCTTCCTCTCCTTAAAAGTTGAACTCCCTGCGGTCGCAGGCTGTTCAGAGATCACTGCCACATTTTATTCAGAAAGGTTTCATCCACAGGCTGTTCAGAAATGTTTAAATTGTTGTTGCTACAGCTTGCCTAACCTATCATAAAGTTTAAACCACTGCTGCCTATATAAATAAAACTTTCCAATTGATCCAGTTGAATCTAATTGATTTAGCCCAAGGGAATCTGGAACTTTGGCTACCTCAGAGTAGGGAGCCCAGAACCTCCCTTTTGGGACCCGGCAGTTGTTTCTCAGAATAACCTTCTCCATAATTTTACCAGGCAATGAAGTGAGACTGGCAGACCTGTAATTACCAGGGTCTTCCTTCTTACCTTTCTTGAAAACTGGGGCAACATTGCCATCTTCCAGTTGACTGGGACCTCTCCAGACTTGGCCAGCTCCTTCAGTATCCTGGGACAAATCCCATCCAGCCCCATAGATTTATGCTTACTCATCTGGAGCAGCCACTCTTGAACAAGTTCAAGGTTGTCTCTGAGTTTATCATCCCCTCAGTCATGGTCTTTCAACAGAAGGCTCTTGAGGTCCCAGGGCCCATCATTGTTATTAAAGACAGAGGCAAAGAAGGTATTAAACATCTCTGCTTTGTTCCTATTTGTGATGTGATCTCTGTCATTGAGTAGCAGACCAACATTATCTCTGATCCTCTACTAAGACATTTCACACACAGCACATGGCCAGCTGCCTTCCTGCTTCTGTGGAGAATGTTGTAATGTAAAATGTTCCTAACATTCCCCAGTTTCTAAAGGCCACCAAGAACCTGGACAGACAGCTTGTCACTGAAAGACTTGAATATATTTGACAGTGCTAAACATCCCTAGTGAGAAACTTCTGGATGTAGAAATGGAGGCAGGTAGCAGCCAGAATGGGGAACAGTGTCCCATGCCCCATACACTGCTAACTTTGTTATTCCTCTGATGTGGTCTAGTTGTGCACTGGATGATGGAAGAAGGGTACTTAAAGAGGATTGCTAAATTAGCAGTTGATTAATCCACTTTAACTTATTTCAGCTGAGGCATTTTGATGAAAACAGGTTATTTCCTTCACTCTTGAAAAATGATTCTCTGGCAAGAGAAGGTCAGGATGCCAAAAGGAACATCTCTGGAGACTTGCTGTCCTCTCGGCTAGCCTTGTCTCCTACCTCATGGTGCAAGAGGAACAGAACAAACCTGAAACCACAGAAAATGCCCCATTGGGGCAGAAAGTGTAGTCCAGACACTGTATCTAGCAGTGTCAGAAGGAGACATTTTTCAGAGAGAGCAGACAATCCTGGCCACTATCTGTGATTCATTATGATCCTGTCACACTACCTCAATACTCACAATGACTGTGTTTGGGAACTCTGCATTTTACCTTTAGTGTCCATATATGGACTTTTTACTATGAGTTTCTCAGATCTACTTTGACCCTGTCCTGCCATCTGCATCCACAGGTTACTGGGCAGAAGATTCCAGAAGTTCATAGTTTGCCATGTAATAAGCACTTGCCTCTGTTTTAAACTGATCAACTTATCACAGTAAGTGTCGGTTCACTAGTCTGCATTTGAAAGACTGTGCTAACCTAGAGAATTTTCCACTGACTCAGTGGGAGCTATAACACATAACTAACAGCAGCACTTGATCTTAAAAGAGCAACTTAAAAAAATCCACAGATGCTCCATTTGAAAGAAGGAAATCTATCCACCAAAAGATGTGACTGTGAGATTATAATTACAGTATCTATGGTCATTGCATTTCAGCATCTCCACTCAGCTAGCGAAAAGGAGTAAGAAGGTATTTTTATCTGCTAGTCCATCCTGGAACTGGACTGCTAGATGTATTCACTGGAAATCCCTTGAAAAACAAGTCACATTAAGCTGCACGAAGAACTGTAGGAATGCAGCTGTATTCCTTTCAGTAGTCAAGCTGTCAGTAGTCAACTAACAACTGCTCTGTCCAGTTGTTAGTTCCTCTGATGTGTGCAGAAGTACAAGCCCTGCTGTCGATAGTATGCTTGGGAATAGAACCTGTCTCCATGCCCTGTTTTTGATCCTAGATTATTTTTGCAAGACTAGGACAAATATTCGTTGATTTATACCCATTTTAGTCATTGAACTCTAAAGATATATTTGGGCCTGATTCTTCTTTCATTTTTACTGCTAATCTTTTAACATAATCAATAGAATTAACCAGAGTTTTGGATCAGTCTAACCTAAAGAGAATCTGGCTTATGAAAACTTAGAGATGATAACCTGTAACTCACAAAATGGCAACACTCCTCAATTAATAATGTCCACTTTGGTAGATGTGTTCTCTTGTTTTGATATGGGTCTTAATATCTTATATGTTCAGGAGCTGATGCTTTCAAGGTGGTTTTAAAGAGTCAGAGTAAACCAAACCACTCACACAGGTTATGGGGGGAAGAGACACGTAGACAATGTGAAACTGCTAAACTCAATTTATGAAGTGGACCAAGTGTCCCCTGTAATCTCTAATGCTGAAGGTGTTTGTAACTAGTTATCACAGGCTGCCAATCAAACAATATCACAGTGTACACCTTCCCAGCAGCTTTGGGGATGGTTCTGTAGCTTGTTGGTCCATTGCCTGTGCCACAGCTCATTATGTTTAGTTCTTGTTTATACTGTCCTGTTGGCCCTGACCTACCACACTCAGCCCGTTTTCACAGCTCTTGGCCAAAGCAAGGTTGTGACATTCCTATGTCATAAGCAAGGAAGAACTGTGAATTGTTTTCACAGTAAAAAACAAAGACAGTTATTATGGTCTGTACCTCTCAGGGCCCTGAGGATTTAAAAAAAAAAAAAAAAAGAAATTGCTTATCTTGACCACTCTAACCTGGGAATTCCGCTGACACACTGCCCACAGATGGCCCAGGAATGACATTTAAGCTCAGGTCTGCACTATTAGTCCCTGCTTGAGCTGCGATGTAGATGTGCTTGTCTCCATCTCTCACATTCATGCATATGTCCATGCCCATGGCAAGCCATGGATCCTGTTGATCTGTTTCCTGACCCATGAACTGATTTTCTGGGTTAATCTCAGACCTCTCTCATCTCTATGGACCAGCCTGGTGATCAGTGTCTCTATGTGACCTTGGTTGCCATCACAGGACCTGATCCTGACCTAAGGATTGACTCCACAGCTTGACATAGGACCTGCCTCGTCAGCATGAAAATCTGGGCTCTTGGTTGATCCTGACTGCTAGCCCCATGAACATATCATTAGACAACATGGGAGATCCCTGCAGTCAGTTGTCCCGGTTGTGTTACCTCCCATCATCTCGTCCACCCCCAGCCTACTCACCTGGGGACGCAGTCAGAAACAAATGCTAAACGTTGGAGCTAAAACGTTGATGTGTTATCAACACTGTTTTGGTCACTGGGCTAAACCCCAACACTATATGGGCTTTTATGAAGAAAATTGACTCCATCCTTGATGGTGCCCCTTGGTTGTAATACCTGATTCTGGTGGATGTTTTCTACTTTTGATGGAGGTTTTACCTCCCATGGGAGCTACAGCTTCCAGGTGAATTTTGGGGAGAGTTTAACCATATAAGGTTGTCATTAAGCAATCCCTGAATTCTTGGAAAAGAAAAGCTCAGCACTGAATGTTTCTGGAGCTGCTCTGAACACTCCCTGGTACGACAGAGAAGGAATGGATGAATCATTGCTTTCTGTCAAGTGAAGTCCATCTGGTTATGCTGTCCCCCTCACTATTTTAAACTCTGCCAGTTGTGTGATGACAGTATGACAGACGCAGGCTCTCGAGGGTACTAGAGACACTCATGCCCACCAGGTTTGGAGTAGTTATTGTTCTGCTTAGTGCTTTGACAAAGCATGTGCACTGAAACAAAGACATAGAAATGAGGCAAAATCAGAAAGATAAATATACAGAACTTCTGTGATGCAAAGTAGTGTGAGAAGACTGCAGAAGGACTGCTTAGAGTAGGAAAACATATTCCAAAATACCTTCACTTGCAGCTTTTCTTTTTTCACACTGATTCCTCATGAGGTATCTTTGGTCCACTTCTCTGATTTCTGCAGTCTCACCAGTTAATGTGAAAGAATTATATTACAAGGATATTGGGATGTTTTGTTTAGCTAAGAAAAATTAATACTGAAGTAAACACGCAGGTAAGCGCTTCCTACTAGCTGCCTGTTTTCCACTTTGCCTGGGTCAGGGCTCTGCCTGCACACCCTTGTGTCTGGCTGTCATTCCACTTCGTTGAACAGAGTCAGGCTCGTAAAGCTCACCCAGCAGCAGCACAGTGTCGCCAGTTATCTTAATCTCTTAAGTTTCGGTTTCCGCATACAGAAGCTGAATAAGAGTCTCAATGAAGTCTGATGACGCTGTGAAACCTGCAGAGGAATGGAAAGCAAAGGTGCTGTGAGAGATAAAAGAACCAAGGGTAGGTGTGCTTATCAATCAGAGTTCCAAAGTCCTATACTGCTAAGGAGGTGTATTTGTGTATCTACAAGCCTTTTTTTATATGCTTTATTGCATTTTTGTGCATACATAAATATCTGTAAATATCTTTGAGTGTGTATTCATACATATAGATTCATACATAGAGACACATTTTAGACTTTTTTATATGTGAAGTTCACAGAGTAAATCTTAAAACACTTTGTGTGTGGTCTTTCTTTCGATAAAAAAATATAGATATCTACTGAAAAACTCCATTAAAATCAAACAAGCATGCAGTGGATTTTCTTTTTACTGTCAAATGTGCCAGCAGCAGAACACTTGAACTAACACAGGATTTACCATTTCAAATTAAGACCAGGAGGCAGCCTGTAAACTGAGATTGAGACCTAAACCTCTGTAGCATAAGCCCCAGGCTTTTAGTCACATTTAAATTCTTCCTCTTTGCTTCCGAATTTCCACTGAGTGATTCTCACCTCTTTGCAACAGATCATTCAGCTAGAGAATAGGAAGCTAAGTATCTGTAAAATTCTCAGAGATTTGCAAATTGGGATCTGGGCTGATTCAAACCTTGTCCCTTTTTGTCGTCTTTGATGTCTGACCTTACTTTCCTTCCTCTGTGCTCCTCTTTCTTCTAACCTGTCTGTCTTCCCTAATTTCTTCCATATGTTTCCATTTCTAGGACTTTACCTCAGCCCGAATTTGTTACTAGACATGCTTCTTGGATTTCAGGTGTCACATAAACCAAAAGACATTTGAGAAAAAATACAAACTATGTGAGACACAGGTGACTCAGCGAGATAAATTAGGGGAGTAGTACATCAGTAGACACCACCTCTGTAATACATCATAGCTGCAGAACTGTTATGCTGCTGTTTCCTGGGAGACATCTGTAGGGAGTTAGTTCCTGTTTCTCTGTCCCCCTCTCTATCATTCAGTGCATATCTCGGAGGCCCTCTGTAAAGTGTTCTGAAGAAATTGTGAAGCTTCTAGATTATTATCCACGGTGAATCTGGTCAAATGTATACGACATGACTCTACTACCAAAGGGAATATTCTCATGAAGGTCTAAGGAACCTGATGGCTAAAGGAGACATGAGTGAGTGTATGTCCACCATTCTGTGTGCCCTTTGCTATGTATGTTCCTCCAAAATGCATTTAGGTTCATGAGGCATGCATATGAGGGTGCTGGTTCCTTAAAAAAACCCCAAACATTTGCTGGAGTGGATGAGATATATTCAGATGTTACCAATAGCTCTGCATCACAAATCATCTTCACATTTATCTCTAACATTACCTTCTGTAAGCAACTTCTGTAAGGGGACGTAATTGACTATGTGAGAAGTAGAATAAAAAATTTTTCACAGCTGTTTGAGTAATATGAGGCTCCACCTATACATATGACCATTGCTACAGGCACATAGCAATTTAAAGGTATACTGGATTACTGCTATTTGCTCATAAAGACCAAGAAACAGGTTTTTCCCACCCAGATATATGATCTGAGGCCATCATCCTCCTCTGACTCACTGAAGTCTTTTCCCTGTAAACAGAATGTGCAAGTTCTTCTAGATGTACAAAAATTCTCTTGTGTGGTAACCTTGTCTTTCTGATTTTATTAAGGTTAAACCAGCGACGGAATTACAAAGGGATTTCTCTCCTCATATTAGACTGGCAGGAATGACAGAACAGCATTTCCTTTTTAAATTTTTTTTTTCCTTTTGGTTTTCCACCATTTCATAGAGCACACTCAGCTTCCTGGAGATACCTGAAAATGTTGTGTTGCTAATTTCCTGCTTCTGTTTGGACTCATTTTTCTCTCCCTGCTTTCTGTGGCATGTTCTGGTTTTATATCAGGAACTACTGCTGCTAATCAAGCCATTTCTTACAGATCAGAGCAATCATCTTGAAGCCTTATTTACATCTGCATATTTGCAAGTACCTACTGCAGGGAGAAGGCAATGAAAGAGTACTACAGTAGCAATGCATTCCTGGTCTTACTGAGAAACATGTCCATGAACTCAGAACTACATTAGTCAATCACTTTTTTGTTTCAAGAACCTCTGAGTGTCTGAGTCGATCCCATTCACTCTCCCTAAGGTATGAAATAATGCAACCACTAGGGAACAATTCTATGCTGTGAAGTGAGGGGTGACCTTGCAGCAGAAGAGGCCCTGAAGGTAGACTCTGTGTTGCCACTGCAGTGCCTGATAACTTGGCATGACTAGTCTTCTTCAGGAGAGTCCTGACAATGCCTGAATCCCTACTCCCTCTGAACTCCACCATTCATCTATGCTTATGTTTCATCTGCCCTGGCAGGAAACTGAACAATTTTTGACAATAGAATACTGAGAACTGGCTGCAGAGAATACAAATAAATCACTCCTCTGGCTTTACAATCCCAAGTCAGACTTGGCATTGAAGAAGGCAATGGCTTTATCCTCAGGGAGTGCACATTACTGGATGATGACTCACCAGGGATCCATTTCTACAGCTTGCATCAGGGCCACAAAATAATTGTGTCACAAAACCAGAGAAAACTGTAAGTGACAGAGACTGATTCTACCTAAGCCATATGAAGAATTCTTTTGTAATCCCTTTCCTCTGCAAGCCAGTTTTGGGCCAGTCAGAGGAAATTTCACTAGAAACTAGCATTGTTTCACTCATTTTTCAGATGAGTACATATGAGTACAGAGCTCTTCTCAGCTGTGACATTTCAAAAATGTCTTGGTGTTCCCTCACAAAAAGCTGTCAACTGCTGAAGCTCTCTTGGATGATAGGCAGCTTGCTTCAAGTTCACCTGAGAGTGTCTGCACAGTCACTGACCACAGCTCAGTGGTCACACACATGGAGGGTTTTCTTTGTTTACGTGAGGACCTAGGTTTGAGGGTGTGTGAGTGGTCCTTGGAACTCCACAGGAGTAGTCCCATAAAGTGAAATGGCAGCAACCACCATCACCTGCGGGAGTTCCACAGACTCACAGGGTTTTGTCCGTGATGTCATCTGTCTCCCTCTCTCCATTGGGTTCTGCTCAACTTTCTGATATATCTGGGTGTCAGAAAAGTTATCTGCCATTCCACAGCTATGTGTCTTGATGCCATTTGTGTAAATGCTTTTCTCTCAGTGCATTGGGGTGACTAGAGAAGATTCGCTTTTCTGTTCTGGAGCTAAAGGTAATAAAGAGATGTAATTTCTGTCTGCACTGCAAAATAAAAAAAAAGTCTCACCTGTTAATTCCAGTTTCTGGAAGGTAAACTTGTATTCAGGGCCAGATCCATTTCTGAATGGCAGCACCCCATTTACAGTCTTTTGCTGCCAGGAATTTGCTTTCAGCTTCAGCCAGTGGGGTAGTGCAAATAAGCATAAGAAAAAGTCACCACAAGGAAACATTCAACTGACTAACATTAGAGACGCCCAAAGTTCAGCATTCGGGAATAGAAACCGAAACAAACGTAAGGCTAATAAAGGCACATCCAATGGCCAAGAGGTGACACACAAAACCAGAAACATCCATGGCTGCTGTCGGTGGCAGAGGTAAGTAAATTTATGTGAAATGTAGGCCTATTTCTCCATATTCAAGTGTAGATATTTACTGTAGTTGTATCTAAGAAACTGGAGAGTAGGGAAAAATGTGTTGTGTTGCCACATGAGGATACACAGGAGACACTTGTGGATATGTGTATTATTTCTTTGAATGCATTATCGTATATTGAGTCTTAGGTCCAGCTTCAAAATATTAATATAATTTTGTTAACCTTAATGTGGAAGAAAGAATTCAAAATCCAAAAGAACTTTTAATATGAAAGAGATCTGAAAAGCAATTAAGAATGGAGCAAATCTTATCTATTATCAAATCTATCTATTATGGAGCTTATCTATTCACTTATTTTATTTTCATTGTGATAAACAACTAGAATATTCTTCTTAAAGAATCGGCAACATGGCTGTGCAAAGAGTTGATCATGTCTCTGTTGATGTGGAAGACTATTTTATTTCTGCTGAAATGCAATTTGACTCTGTATATTTCATAATTTCTCATCTTAAAGACCTAAGCTGTGGAAAAAGTGCCTTTAGTATCTTAATTCTAAGTAAATTATTTTTATTATATTATATATTATATGTAAAATAAAAATTAATTATTTTAAATTTTAATTCTATATAAAATTTATGTATAAATTTGTAAAGGGAAATAAATTTCAATTAATTAATCTATTAAATAAAATTACGGTTCCTCGATCCTTAATTTCACTATAGATGGATTTTTACAAAATAAATAGGTAGCCTTGATCACCTGCAAGTGATCAAGTGTTTTTCTCTACACTCTCAGCTGGGAAGGGATCAATGAGTCATGGGGTCAAACTTGCCTGCTACCACGAGAGGCAAAACGTGTATAATCAGGCAGCTCTGTGGTGCTCCCCCTTGGGTATTTGTTAGTCAGAAATCATCCTCCTTTCCTCACTATATTTTTTCCTTGACACTGATATTTTTCTAGCTTTTGAAACGGTTTCATAATAAGTAAGGAAGGGATTGTTGGTTGCGAAAATGTTTTTGTCTAGACTGACATTATGAGTTACAATAGGAAAATAGCTCAAGTTTTGCCTGCCTAGTAGAAGTGGTTTGGAAGATTTAAAGGGATAAGAGATTTGATTCCACTCTTTGATTAGTCAGAGAAAAACAGATGCAGTACTGCTGAAATCAGTGAAGTTAAACTCAAGTGTTTACACAATCAACCCTAATGTGTTAAACTGAGCAAGGGTTCAAGTAGAGTATAGTTTAAACAGCCATCAAGTTCAACTCCCAGGTAGGAATCCACCCCTCCTGCATTCCAGAGTGCTTATTCTGCTGTGCAGACATTACTTATTAAGTCCTTTTAGAGAAAAGAGATTTGGCAGGGAGTGTATAGACTGAAAGGGGTCTGGGGAGAAAGTGTAGAGGAAGTTTTGTTTTCTGATCTGCTATCCTCAATGACTTACAAATCTTTTCCATATAGATCCTGCACCCAGAAAGAAAAACCAAGGGTAAGAGATGTCATCTATCACTGTGTGCTGTTTGAGCTCCATGGTGATTTCCAGAGACAGCCTTGTGCCTTGTTTTCCTCTTAACATCCCTTTCCCCAATCTTCCTTTTCTGTTTTCTTACTGCTTTGACTGGTGCTGATCCCTGAGTGGTGATGGGGCTGCTTATGCACCCAACAGTTCTCAACAAAGTGCTGTGGGTGTTCTGGAGTCTTCATCAAATTCCAGATTTAGATCATTAGATTGCGACATTCTTCAAGCTGCTCATTTGTGATGGGAAAGGCTGAAAGTGGGAGGCTTGACTGATGCTGAGAGCAGGCAATGCCCAACAGGACAAACATCGTTGAAGAGCCGTGATCACAGTACTGCTGGTACTTCTGTTGCAGGTGGAAGATACAGCCAAAAGACTTCAAAAGAAATTATTTGCCTGGCCAACATCCACAGGTGGTGTACCTGCTCTATGAAATCAGGTGGAGAAATGGTTCCATCTGGAGGAACTGGTTCTCAAACAATCGTAACCAACATGCTGAAGTCAACTTCTTGGAAAATTGCTTCAGTGGTGTGCCACCAGCTCCTTGTTCCATCACCTGGTTCCTTTCAACTAGTCCCTGTGGAGAATGCTCCAGGAGAATTCTGGAGTTCCTGAGGACACATCGTAATGTGACCTTGGAAATATACGCAGCCAAGCTGTTCAGGCACCAGGATATGCGCAACCGGCAAGGTCTCTGCAACCTGGTGATGAATGGAGTCTCTATACGTATCATGAATCTTGCAGGTAACCCAACTCTTTGGCGGCTTTGTCTAGCTGTGGATTGAAAGTTTTGGGACTATGTGCACTCTCAGTTTGTAATAGAGGTGATGACTGGCATTGTGGAGGACTAGTGAGTGCAAAAATGTCACTCTGTTCTGCCTTATTTTTTCCCCAGTCCTATACAGCAGCAGGACTGACCTGGTCATTTCCTCTTGTCAAATCTGAACATGGAGAGTTAGGGCTTTCTCTAGCCATCCACACCTCCCTTATGTGCAGTGAAAAATCCTGGGCTTAAGACAGAACCTGTCCCTCCTAGCATATATATACAGATCAGCTTGCCAACTGCAGCCAGTAATTGCTTTCCCTTGATAGAGACTTTCAGATGATGCAGCACAGAGAATATGTCTTGCACGTGTGTCTTTTTGTTTGTATATCTTGCTTGCCTGTTGATGTTTGGCTGTACAAATAGTCCGGACAAGCAGCTCACAGAAAAGAATGTACATTTGAAGAGATGAATTTCACACGCCTGTCTGGACACTTACTACTGGAGTGTGCAGCTCTTAAATCCACCAGGTCTAATGCATTCTTAAAGGACACTGCTTATCTTGTGGAACCTATCTCTGGGATTATATCACCAGAGCACTGACAGAAGCTCTGGCCACCCTGTTAACACTAAGATCATTCTGAAGCTGATAAATGTTGGAGTGTTCACTCCAGGTTTTCCCTGATCATTGAGATAAGTGTGCTGGTTTAAAGGTAAACCAGCAGGGGAAATGAACTCAACTCAAAAGAGAGATTATAAATCAGAATAACAATTTAATAAAATAATACAATAAGTACAATTATACAGACAAACAATTGGTTTTAACCCACAAAACCCAAATACATAACCCAGCACCCTGGGGCATGAACAGAGTGGTGTTCTTTGGGCCCCCTGAGTCCAAAGGAAAAGGAGAGGGGAAAAACCCTGTTGGTGAGAGTGCTGTTGCAGTCTGGTCAAGAGTGGTGATTGCAGTCCGGTCGAGAGTGATGGTTGCAGTCTGGTTGAAAAGTGGTGGCTGCAGTCCAGTCGAGAGCGGTGGCTGCAGTCTGGTTGAGAGCGGTGACCTGCAGTCTTCCTCTGGATCCCACGAGTGGTTAAAAAGGTCCCAAGACTCCAAGATTATATATCCTCCAGTTCAGGCAGGAATGCTCAGTACCTCCCTCAGGGCGGGGGGTTCCTTAACGGGTGTGAGGACAAGAGCAATTCCTACCTCGCAGGCCTCTTAGCACCTAGTTTATAGCCTGAGGAGTCAGGCTCTATGTGCAGATGGTGTAAATGGTTCATTGATAACAGTTTCTGGGAAATGGCATGGAAGGCTATAGAATACACAGTTTTGGGTTACACCCATCCAGTGATGAACTGGTCTCAGCTGTCCTAACTAGGACAATAAGTCAGACAAATTCATGATTGAAGCAACAGTGTCTTACCAAAGCTGTGTGATCAAGCACAAGGCTGCCAGAAGATATGCCTGACAAGCTCTGACTTGCATGTGCCACTTCCCTTTTCAGTCCTTCCCTTGCTGATTCCTTCTCTCTTGGCAAATGTGCTCTGACTTTACGCCTTGATGTGCTATTCTTGATAGGGGCTGTCCTAACCACCACAGTGATTTTGCTCTCTGGCTATTCTTTTTTAGACATATTTCTGGTTTTGGAGTTTTGGTTCCCCTTTCCACTAACTTACTTGTATATTTAATTGTGTAATCCCTTGCATGAATATCTTTCTCCTGCCCTTTACTGTAATCTTACTGAAAAACAAGTGACAAACTGACATGTTAATGAAGAAAGAGCTGGGCATCTTTTCATCAAGAGTGACTGGATATCTCTCTTCCTAGATTACAGTTACTGCTGGAAAAGATTTGTTGCATACCAACATGGAGAAGATGATTATTGGCCCCAGAACTTCACTGCATACATCTTTCTGAACTGGAGAGAGCTTGGTCATATCTTTTTGGTTAGTAGACACCTGAAGAACACACTGAGAGCAAAAATTAATGCAAAGTCCCAAGAAAAGGAGGTTTGGCAATGGTGTTAGCAGAAACGATAGTATTAAAAATCAGCATGGGCTTGATGCTGCATAAGTAGAGGGCCCAGCAACAAGAGACTGCCGAGGACTATGCCACTACACTGTGCCTATGTGACTGGGAGTAGAGAAGAGATTTAGCAGTACTCTCAGGTGTTTTACTAAGGAAAGGGTACATTATTTCAACCCTTTACATGGACCAGCTGCCAATTAATTAGCTTGCAGCTTGCTGGAGCTATTTGACCCCAAAAGCTTCTTCAGCTGTGTAATCATGATTCAAGCACTCTCTTTTTGCTTCTCGGAATAGGGCCACTGATTTTAGCTAAGTTCTGAGCAAGTTTAAAAGCCTGGATTAGTGGATTTGCTTTCAGGATCAGAGTTTATATATAAGAGTATCATGCGACTGAGATCCACATTCCCTGTTTTTTGTAATCCATACAACTGCAGAAGTTATTTGTACAGCCTGATATCCTACTATATAAGAAAGAGAAGGTGGTCTATTGAACAGGTCTGTTGAACTCCAGTCCTAGTCTTCTAGGACTCACCCACTTCCTGGCTCACCCACTCTTTGTGGAGCAAGCCAGTTCTTGCTTGAACTGGTCCCTCTATGCAGAATGGATGGCAGGAGATGGAGGAAGGGATGCACACAACTGCATTATACAGGCAGGAACTTACAGTCACACACACAAAACTAACCTGTATGTAGGATGCTATAAGCACCTGAGGACGCTATAAACTTCCTGAATGAAGAAAAAGTACACTTTAGACTTCATTTCAATTCCATCCACCCCAAACTTTACATAGGACTTTTAATACCTCAAGACCTGACCTTTTTAATTCTTGTCTGAATAAGACATTCAGGTGACAGGATACACACTCAGTGGCAATATCCAGTCAATCATCTGATCTAACAAAGTAGTTAATGCAATGTAATGGTTTAGGAGACCTTTTTCCCTTGGCTTTCAGTCTTTCTGAGTCTCCTAATGTCTGAAATGATTAAATAATTTAGCATCTTACGCACAATCAAATGCATAGTGTGATGCTTACCAGGGAGCTGAACAAAGCTCTCTGTTAAATGCTTGTGAGTACTGACAAACTACAGCTGACTCAGCACAGTTCCCTGTGCAGCAGTACAAGGTGAACATGCCCTTCAAGTCCAGGTTTTAAAGAGCCAGCTAACAAATTACCTGTCCCTCCCATGCCAGCCTTGTTGATTACTGGCCAGTCCTGGTGGCTAGGGAGTTTGCACTGGGACACATGCTGAAAGCACTCTCTCAACTGCTTTGCTGTCTCAGGAAAATACAAGCCATCCCTAAAATGAAGGTGAATATGGCCCATTATCAGTAGTTCTGCTAACTACCAGCCCTCCACAGAAGGAATGGGAAGGTCTATGTGTTCAGCCCTTTTGAAAATCCAGCCCTGTTTTACTAATTACGCCGAGGTGTAATGAGGTGAGCGAGTTCCAGGCACGTGCTCCAGAGAAGCACAGACTGTTGTGTGAAGTCCTGGCCTCCCTGGCAGAAGAAGGACACTGAGGAACCAGAGAGGGTTTGATGGAATACCCCTTCAAAGGGCAGGGGGCTGGAGCACTTGCCCTACGAAGAGAGACTGAGGGAACTGGCTTTGCCAGAGGCAAAGAAAAGAAGGCTAAGTGGGATCTAACTGCAGTTTTCCACTACATAAAGGCAGTAAAAACGTAGCTAAACTCTCCTCAAAGATGCACAGAGGAAATATGAGGTAACATGCACAAGCTGCAAAAAGGGAAATTCCAACTGGATAGAAGGAAAAAGTCTCCCCTGAGAAAGGTGCTGTACTGGAACCCAGAGAGGCTGGCAGACCTCCTTCCCTGGAGACACTGAGAGCTTTCCTTTGAGCTGCCAGATCCAGCTTTGGAGTTAGCCATGATGGAAATATGCTGTTGGACTAGAGACTTCAGGAGGGCCTTTGTAACCCCTGAAAAATCTGTCTTTTCACAGGAGCTAGCTCCATTTCCCCTGGATTCAACTATGCAATCTGCCACCTTTTAAATTCTTCTGTTTCTAAATGGTCTGTCTTTCTAGGAGGTGTGTACATGGCACAGTAAATTATGAGGTGCTACCCTGTTGCCTGGAAAACTATATCCCAAAGGAGACTATCTAAAATACTGAAGGAAGATCAGGGTGATTGATTTCTTGGACTAGATACTGTATTTTCAAATTCTATATTATGTTGAAGAGACAACTTAAGCTTTTGGCATCTGATTTTTAATGTTCAAGTTTCTTTCTTCCTACTAGGGTCTTCCTCCATTGCTGCCATACTGAATACTAATAAGCATCACCACCATGCTTTCAAGCTTGTTTTGTGCATCAATAACAGACCAGAAAAGCCACTGCCCAGCAATCATTTCTGCTGCAGCCTTGATGAGTTTCATCCTGCCACCAGAGAAGGCTCTTATCGCTGTCTGGATATTGTTAAGTATTGGACGGAGCAGAAGGAGCACATGAGAAGCCATCAGGAAGTTCAGATGACACAGCCAGGCATCCAGGGCACAGTTCTCTGGGTCTTTATAAGACTTCCTGAAAGTCCAGTGGGGATGGAGACCATGCCCCGTAATCAGATATTTCACATATGCTGATTCTGCAGTCAGATTCTGCCAGAACCCTCTTGAGACGCCAGCAAGCAACATTTTTCATGAATACGTGTTTGTGTGGTTCTGCAAATACTTCAGGCTATTACAGTATTTATGCAATTCTGTAATAATATCTCACTTTAAGTTTTTATTCTCCCTACATTTGTGACTGTAAAACCAATAGAATAAAAGGAAAAAATATCAACCCTATGGAAACTTTGCTTTTCTTGTTCAGTTCCTGGATACACATCCCTCCCTTGTAATTCCACACTCTGGAGACCTAGCTGTTCATTGCAAACTGGGATAACAAGGTAAAAAATCTCTGCTTTTCCAGCTGGAAACACTGAGTGGAATCGTGAAGTAGGAGATACTGAAAGCTCTGAGCTATCTGTACAAGCAGAGGGCAAAAAGAAGATACAGGTGTGCTAGGTCTTGCAGCACTTTTCAATTTGCACTGCAAATAATGTACAACATCTGAATGAATCATGTTGGGAGCTCCATGTTTCATAATTCCCAATCCCTCCAAGCAGGAGGCCCATTGTGTGATCCCACTGGGGAATGTGCTGGTGCTGGGATTTGCAACATGCAGGCACAAACAATGATTTGAAGAGTAAGGCAGGGCCTGGAGGGAGCCATGCCTATCTCTTCCAGTTTATCAGTGCTTATAGCATCCTTTGGCCATGCCAAAATCTCCAGATGTTTAGCAGACAATCAAGACAGCCAGGAAAGCTACCGGCTGAGGAAGCAGCTTCAGTCCCTGCAGTATGAGAGTATACCTAAGGCTGAGCACAACTGGTGGGGAGTGTCTCCTGCATTAAGCACATAAAATAACTCCAAGCAGTGTTGTCCTAGTTAGGACAGCTGAGACCAGTTTATCATGGTATGGGTGTAACCCAAAACTGTGTATTCTATAGCCTTCCATGCCATTTCCCAGAAATTGGTAGCAGTAGAGGCCTGTAGATGTTCCTGTCCTCATACCCTTTTATGGAATTCCCCGCTCTGAGGGAAGGACTGAGCATCCTCATACCCTTTTATGGAATTCCCCACTCTGAGAGAAGGACTGAGCATTCCTGCCTGAACTGGAGAATATATAAACTTGGAGTTTTGGAACCTTTTTACCACTCGTGGGATCCAGAGGAAGACTGCAGCTCACCGCTCTCAACCAGACTGAGACCACCACCCTCAACTGGACTGCAATCACCACTTTTGACCATACTGCAACAGCTCTCCCACCAGCAGGTTTTTTCCCCTCTCCCTTTACTTTGGACTCGGGGGGGGGCCCAAGAAGCACCACTTTGTTCATGCCCCAGGGTGCTGGGTTATACATTTGGCTTTTGTGGGTTAAAACCAAATTGCTTGTCTGTATAAACGTACTTATTGTATTATTTTATTAAATTGTTATTCTGACTTATAATCTCTCTTTTGAGTTGAGTTCATTTCCCCTGCTGGTTAACTTTTAAACCAGCACAAGTGTGTATAGCACAGCTAAAGTATTTTTCCTCCTGTATAGGACCTCATGCTGGATGTCACATGCTGTCTTTCTGGCCATTATAGTGTTTACTTTTTGTTTCCTTAGGGAGAAATCAAATCACTTGATCGATGTGTAGTTGAGTACAGCAGGGTCCATAACCATTCATGCTCAGGGCTCAGGCCTTGCCCACTAAAGGCAGGAGGACAAACTTCCTGTGGTCTGTTTGGAAGCTTGCCTGTTTCAAGTCAGCCCAGCGAAATTTTTCACACCAGTTTTGTCTGCCAGAGTGAATTTGCAATCTTCTGTATCTCTGCTGTGCCCCTACTGGCATGTAAGGGCCTAGGGATGGGTCTACCACACTATTAGCCCATAAAGGTAACCACAGAAGGCAGCTGGTCTGCTCTCATTCTCTTCTGTCCCTCTGGACTGGTATAAACATTGTGCCAACTTGTAGGGTAGGATAGTTCTTAACTGTGAGCTAATAAGAACATTATAGCGTGGAGACATCAACATCCTCCCTGCCCTGGAACTTGGGTGCATTCACCCATGTGAAGAGACAAGCCCCTTGTAGGCAGGAAGATTACCTCTCTCAATATCAGCCCCATGCCTTTAAAAGCCCCAGCAGTCCTTCAGCTGGGATGGTTAATGGTAACAATGCCAACAGCAGCAACAACAATGCAGTTTTAGCTATATCTGATGCGTGTTTGAAAGCGTGGGGGGAAACCTGTGTATCACAAAAATGTATGAGAGATTTATAAAACAAAGGTAGCCTTCAAAATACTTGCCAACCTTTGGTGCCTCCCCTTCTGTTCTGACCTCTGGTCTTGCAGCAACCCACTTTCTCCTTCCCCTTCAGAGGCTCTGCTCATTATCACTGGCTATGTCTGAACAAGTGGTCTCTTCTCTGCCAAATTCCTCCAATGTTTCTTCTATGAATCAAATCTGACTTCCATTTCTGCGAATATTTAGTACATATGTGATTAAACAATGAAATTTCTGCTCATAGGAACACTAAAGAGTCAGCACCAGGGAGAGGAGAAAAAACTACTCGAACCAGAGGACAATGCTGGACATGAATACATCCAGGCTGAAACCCCCCTGAAGGGACAAGTAGCAGGGGACTGGACTCCATGACCCTGAAGACCCTTTCTATCCTGACTTCCAAGTATCAGCATATGGGAGAGAAAGAGAAAGCAAGTGGGGGGAAGACATGCTTGTGTTTACAAGGGTCTGGAGTGTGTTTTTGCATTGTTTCATGGTTATCTGTTTGTTATGTTGCAAAGTCCAAGGGCACTGTGCACTGAGCTGGAGTAATGCTGTGTGCAGCTGTGGGAATGATGCAGTGTCCTACTCTTCAATGGGCACGTTCTGGGTGTTGTTGAGAGCTTCAGGAGCTTCAGGAGCTGTTTCCAGCTAGGAACAACATTCCTCCAGCCAATGCCCTCATAAGGGGTGCCAGACGCCCTTGTGTACAAGGAGATGGCAGCCATGCCCAGTTTCCCATGCTGTACCAATAGCCATCCCATCCCACTTGTCCTGTTTAGTGTGTTATCAAAAACCAATCCTGTGCAGCTATTCAGATATGCCTGTGCCTTGTTTATTACTGCAAACTGTGGGCAGATGAACCAAGTAAGACTGGGGCTAGTACCGTATTCCTCTGCTCTGGCCCATCCCCACAGTCAGGGGAGGAAACTTCCTCCCAGAAATCACAAGCCCCCATTTCCCACACCTCGGGTGACTGGGGCCTTGAGGTATATTTGCCACAGTCCTCTTGAGATGTTACTTTCTGCCCAGGAAGGAGACACCAAGAATAGCACAGCCACTACCTCCATAGGGGATAGGCTGTAAAGATAAGTGTATAAGCATTAGTGAAATGTTCACTATATACCCAGTCTGCAAAGAAAGTAAAATACCTTAGGTTGAAAAAATAATGATACTACATAAAAATCATCCCCCAGGGAGTTATTCTTGGCATAGACACCTAAAGCATTTGAGGTTTAATTACTTTATAATGCCAAATTAAAGAATATCTTGTAACAAATAATATGAAGTGGTATTTGAGAACAGAAAAAGTGTGGTTAAAAAATCTCTCGCAGAAGAACTAAATTCCTATAGCTGAATCACATGGATTAGCTGAACAGTCCACTCTGAATTTAATCTGCTTTAGATTCAGAAGAATCTAAACCTAGGATGTATTCTGAATGCAGTTTGTGTTTCTCTGCATGTGCTCATTGCATTTATTCTCCTACTGCACAGTGTCACCAATTGTCATGTTTCAACAAGTATCTTCAACTCAGTGTTAATCAGCCTTTAAGCAAAAGCCAGCTGCTGGATTTTCTAAACTGCTCTTTTAAAAAATGCTACTTTTGCTGGTAGCTCTCCAACAATTTCACTGAGAAGGACAACAATGTTGTACAGGCTAATATCGAAAGTTGAAAGATAGAGATCCTTTTTACGTATCTACTTCTCTTCCTGTTTTTTGAAGTATATTGGGTCAGCATTCTGTGTCCACTTAGGTCAATTACGAGTAATGAATGGGGACGATAGGCTTGCCAACAAGGAAGGAAGCATCTCAAACAACTTTTGCATTTACATCACAGATTTTGGGTGGTATTCCAAAGTACCTGAACACTTTATCTGCCTTGATCTGCTGGGTGACATTGTTGGCAATTCAAAATTACAAGTAAAAAAATAAAGACAGTTTAATAGGATAGTGCCAGGTTGTCCCTGATGACATGTCAATCCTTTGGGTCAAATTTTTCTTCCCTCACTCACATGGTACCAAAATAATGACAAAATTAGATGCTCATTTGTAAGACCTTTATTTATATAAATAATATGCACCATATCAAACAAATATACAACACCATGTTTGCAAATTAATGCTTTGCAAAGAACTCTCATTGCTATTCCTGGTCGAAATTTCTCAAGCTGAGAGTGCCTCAGGAGCCTGAAGTTGTAGGAAGCTTGTGATGCACCCAGTTGTGACCTCTCCTAGCAGGAGAAGGCACTGTGGGAGCAGGGCTCTCCACTGTCCTCCTGCAGCTGGCCTGTCACCAGAAGAGGTGTTCTGAGGAGCAACCCAGGAGCCTTCAGCCTTACCCAGAAAGAGGAACAGGATGGAGTAGAGAACTTGCAACCATTACAAAGGAAATGACAGAGCAAACCTAGAGTGTGGGACACACTAGCCTTGGCAAAGCCTAAATACGTTAGACTGCAGAGGACAATCCATCTGTAATTTAGGTGGTGAGCAGTCATGTGCTGAGAACTGCTATCTTCAGCTTGTACAGACTGTCCACCAGATCAGGTGCTAAGGGGGTCCCCTAGTGGAAACATAGTGATTGCCAGGCAGGAGGATAGTTTGATTTTTGCTGCTACAGAACATATCTGTCTACAGGCTATAGAGCTTTGCTTAAGCCATGTGTTTTTTCTGGTCATCTCTCAGTACAGTCACCAACTAGACAGCTGGCCACATTACGGGCAGTAAAAGGTGAAAAACCAGAAGACTGTGGGACTGTAAAGGTGCCTCCAGCAGAGGACAGTTGGCTAGGGAGGGAGCATATTGCACATCTGATCTAGATGGAAATGCTTAGGGGATGAAATGTATTCCACATAGTGAGAGGAGTGGTGCTCTCACTCACTCTCATGGGAAAACCTGCTGGCTTCCAGTGAGGAAAGATGAGCTACCCGGGC